ACAGAATATTATTCTACTTCTCACCATTCCATTAAAGTTACTTCGTTCCACTCACTATTGTATCATCAATTAACAAAGATAAATATATCCCAAGGCGGTATTAAATCAGCAGAAACTTACCTATTTACACTGTCTTCATTTATATTAAAATACTTCTGTGACTAATTTAGAATTATTCAAACTTGAAATATATTTGTTCTGTCTCTAAATTAGTTCAATTTTAATATCTCATATTTCTATCAGAGAAATTTAATTAAATCCATAAATTGCCTACAATATGAAAGAATGCTGAATCAGAAGAAATACTGATGGCCTTAGGCTTATTGCCATGCCCCATAAAAATGAGACAGTAAATCAAAAACTTTCACCCCAGCAGCTCCTGTCTCATAAAATTTATGTTTATTACAAGATATTAGATATTATTATAAATCATAAGTCCTGCAGATTTTGGGACCAATAATATACGATTTTTAATAAATAATGGAAATTCTAAAATCGAATAAAGAACAATTGCATGAGAAATTCATTGGGAACGATGTTTCAAAGAAATATGTAGAATGTAATATGATTTTTAAACTGATTTTCCAGGTTTAATAACGGCCTGGTTTCTCTGGTAAATTTATCTAATGATCCAACCGTTTCGTGTGCAAATAATGAGTCCCTTAATCAACGTTTCATTCTCCATTATCGCCCTCAGTGGCTGAAAAGCGTAGGCCCCCTTCTCGGTATTGAATCCGCGAGCTCGGTATTATTTTAAACAACAGTTGATTGCGGTTTAAAGTAAAATTTATGGAACACCTTAAAGCCGTGACCGACTTGCCTCATTTTTCCATTCAAAGGAACTGAGGATTGTGTTTACGCCATGATTTATGAAACAATTATTAAACCGTAGAAATGCGAGACGTCACATTAACTCGGGTATTTATTAAACAAACGTTCCACGAATGCCGGACATTTATTATTCAGTCATTATTATTATTATTATATAGTATTATTATTATTAATATTATTATTCAAGAGGCACATAAAGGTTGATTATTTATTTGAACTCCGCAACAGGCGAGGTATTAAAAATCAATTTTTGATGACGATTAAATCAATTAAAAGTTAAATTATT